ATAAGTAAAACACTATCGAAGAAGAATACCGTAGGAGGACTCACACTACCTGACCTCAGAACCTACTATACAGCTACGGTAGTCAAAACAACAACAGATACAGTGACCAATGGAACAAAATTGAGAACCCAGATGTAAATCCATCCACCTACCGTCACCTGACCATCAATGAGTTCCCAAAGTCCATCAAATGGGGAAAAGACCGTCTTTAAACATATGGTGCTGGCAAAACTGGATGTCCACATACAAAAAAGAAACAGGACCCATACCTCACACCATACACAAAAACTAATTCAAAATGGACCAAAGACTGAATATAAAACCAAACACTATAAAAGATCATAGAAGAAAAAATAGGATCAATGCTAGAGGCCCTAATACTCGGTATTAACAGGATACAAACAATAACTAACAACATACAAACTCCAGAAGATAAGCTAGATAACAGATCTTCTAAAAATTAAGCGCTTATGCTCATCAGAAGACGTCACCAAAAGAGTGAAAACAGAACCTACAAACTGGGAAAAAACTTTTGGCTATGGCAAATCCAACAAATATCTAATCTCTAAAATCTGCAGGAAAATCCAACACCTCTACAGCAAGAAGACAAATAATTCAATCAAAAAATAGGAAAGGAAATGAACGGACACTTCACCAAAGAAGACATTGAAGGGGCTAACAGACACATGAGGAATGCAAATTCAAACTACAATGAGATACCATCTACCCCCAGCATTACTAGCACGAACCAAAAAAACTGGAAATAACAAATGTTGGAGAGGCCACGGGGAGATTGGAACTCTTATGCACTGCTGGTGGGAATGTAAAATGATACAACTATTTTGGAAAATGATAGGGCGCTTCCTTAGAAAGCTAGAAATAGAAATTCCCTATGATCCAGCAATCCCACTCCTAGGAATATACCCTAGAGAAATAAGAGTCGTCACATGAATAGACGTATGTACATCCATGTTCATTGCAGCATTGTTCACAATAGCAAAAAGATGGAAACACCTAGATGCCCATCAACAGATGAATGGATAAACTAATGATGGTATATACACACAATGGAGTATTATGCAACGATAAAGAACAATGATGAATCTGTGAAGCATCTCACAACATGGATGAATCTGGAGGGCATTATGTTGAGTGAAATAAGTCAATCACAAAAGGACAAATATTGTACGAGACCACTACTATAAAAACTCATGAAAAGGTTTACACGTAAAAAGAAACAATCTTTGATGGTTTTCAGGGAAGGGAGGGGTGGGGGTGGAAAAACACTAAATAAACAATAGATAAGTGGTAACTTTGGTGAAGGGTAAGACAGTACACAATACTGGGGAAGCCAGCACAACTTGTCCAAGGCAAGGTCATGGAAGCTCCATAGACACATCCAAACTCCCTGAGAGACTGAATTACTGTGCTGAGGGCTGTGGGGACCATGGTCACAGAAACATCTAGCTCAATTGGCATAGCATAGTTTATAAAGAAAATGTTCTACATTCTACTTTGGTGTATAGCATCTGGGATCTTAAAAGCTTGTGTGCAGCCATCTAAGATACTCCACTGGTCTCACCCTGTCGCAAGCAAGGGAGAATGAAGAAAACCAAAGACACAAAGGGAAGATTAGTCCAAAGAACTAATGAACCACAGCTACCACAGCCTCCACCAGACTGAGTCCAGCACAAATAGATGATGCCTGCCTCCCATCACTGACTGCTGTCACAGGGATCACAGTAGAGGGTCCCAGACAGAGCTGGAGAAAAATGTAGAACAAATTCTAACTCAGAAAAAAAGACCATACTTACTAGCCTGACAGGGACTGGAGAAACCTTGAGAGTATGGCCCCCGGACACCCTTTTAGCTCAGTAGTGAAGTCACTCCTGACTTTCACCCTTCAGCCAAAGATTAGGGGCACACCAGCCTAGGGGCAAAGACTAGAAGGCAGGAGGGAACATGAAAGCTGGTAATAGGGAACCCAAGTTCGAGAAGGGAGAGTGTTGACATGTCATGGGGTTCATAATCAATGTCATAAAACAATATGTGTACTAATTGTTTAACGAGAAGTTTGTTCTGTAAACCTTCATCTAAAGTAAAATAATTTAAAAAAAGAAAAAAATCCAAAATTATGTAAAACAACACTCATGATATTTAGCAAATCCAAATATAATAAAGAACATGAGGAGTATATGAAAAGAAGACAATATTAAAGTGAGGCAACTAAAGCACATTGTTTTCAGTAAAAAAAAAAAAAAAAAACTTCAACAAACTTCACAAGAATATTTGAAGAAGTCAATTCCTTATAGTTTTGGATTTATGAAGACTTAAATTTTAGACAAAATCTTGTCAAATACTTGCTACAATATAGAGTATCAACTATTTTCACTAAATGAAGATGAAGGATTTTTGAGGCTTGCCCAAGCTACGAATCCTAGAAACAACATTCCTCCTAAAAAAAAAAAAAAAAAGATAAATCATTTTTTATACTGAAATATATTTTACTGTGCACAAAAATAAGTGATAATATTAAATATATCAATTAATACAAGTATCTGTTAGCTCAGTGCAATCTAGTAGCTTCTGGTTCTGAGTAACTTCCTGTACTAAAATGTCAAACTTTTTAAATTTGACTAACTTTTATAATAACATTATCATCATTTTTACAAGATTATAAAAGTCTTCTATTTTCTTCTAACATCTTCATCTTTGTTTTACATTTGGCCATAATTCATCTGAATGCTACACTTGCACATAGTGTGAGGTAGGGACCTAATTGTATTCTGTAAATTATGTATGAATGTCCATACAAAGAAAAGAAAAATAATTCATCTTCTGCCCTATGATTGAAATGCCATCTTATTAATTTAAAATCCCAAAATAAAAACGGATCTATTTGAATTTTCTCCAAAGACCTACCTATTTGTGCATCAATACCATACTATTTTAATTACCACATCTTTATGGTATATTCTGATATCTAGATTACCAAATCCAGCCATGTTATCTTTTTCAACATTTTCTTAGATATTTTTACATATTTAATCTTCTAGGTGCACTCAGCTTATTAAATTCTACCAAAAAACCAAAAAAGTAACAGGACTAATTGTCTAATTCTATTCTGTAAATTATATCAATACCTCAAATAATTCACTAGGAAAAATTCCTCAAAATTCTATTTGTATATTTTGATCTAAAAGAAAAGAAATTAAGTTTTATTAATACTTAATGTACATGTTGCTACTGAGGCCCTCATTTACTCTATATGCCATGTAACTAGTCACGAATTTCTTTTTGCTTATCATACTTGCTATTAGTTATGGCTCCAGAATTTTAGGATTCAGGTCTCTCATTGTTCTGGAAAAATTTCAGCTATTATTTCTTTGAATAATATCTATCCCATTCTATCTTCTCATTCTGATTGAGTTCTGATTTTATGTAGGCTAGACCCTCTCCTAAATATTTTCTAATACTTCGTCTTTCTATATTGCATTAAGAGTATTTATTCATATCTATTTTCCAGTACATCCAATGTGTCTTCTATTGTGTCTAGCTTTTTTTTTTTCTACGTCATCCACCGAGCTTTTTAAATAGATTAATATTTTGAATTCCAGGCTCTATTTGTTTCTTTTCCAAATCTACTGTGTTTGTTTTTAATAGCTTTTTGTTCTTCATTCATACTTTCAATATCCTCTTTTATTCCTCTCAACATATCACGCTATCATGTTTAATGGAAAGCATCCTTATTTCATATTCTATGCCTGATAATTTCATACCCTGAAGTTTTAAAGGGTCTAGTTCTGCTTGCTTTTTGTTTATTTGTTTGTCTCTTTCTTTCTACTGTCACTCACTAATGAGGCCTTGTTTTCTTATGCTTTGGTGGATTTTTTAGCTCACATCTGGTCAAATTTCATCTTTGGCAAATCTTCCAGGCCTGAGTTGATGCAGTGAAGGTTTGCTTTTCTTCTCCCAGATGTCTGGGGTCCCTAGCAATCTGGCACCATTTTAAAATATATTTTAAACTTGACTTGTTCTGGATCACACAGATATCAATTTAGACATCAAACCCATGAAAAGGTGGCCAGTTTGTAATGATAAATTCTCAGAGAATTTTTTAAAAGTTTTTTGCCTAAACCCAGAGCCAAGTTTAAGAGAGGTTAAATTTCCTTACCATATACGTTTTACAAGGCACATTTTAATCTTATTCTCCATTCATTTAGGATGCAGCTCTCCAATGTCCTAGCTCTATGGTGGCAGAGTCTCCCCTTCTATTTTCCACCTTGACTTAACTCCTCTCTCGACTGAAGTTCTATGTCCCCCGAGCAACCGCCCACTTCACTATTCCCCTGCCTCTTTGGATTCCTGCTTTTCTTCATTTTTGGCCTCTGGGGTCAAAATACGCAACGATATATATTTCTTAGCTATTTTATTAGTTCATAATCAAAAATTTTAGAGACCACTGAGCTGGTGTACCCAACATTAATGCCTGGTTTAAAAAAAAAAACAACAACACAGAAACAAAAATGTGAGCACTCAAGAACTAGTTTCATTTCAGTTTTCACCCAACCCTGCCACTACAGTAAGTTCTCGGCTCATCCAGTTCCTCAGGAGACAGAACTTTTAGGAGAGCTAAGGTTCAATCCTGAAATCCAGGATGTTGGTGGGGGACCCAGCAGATCAGCAAGGTACTCTTTTAAAGCATCGTTTCCTCATGTGTACAGGGGTATCAACCAGCAGCAGGCAGCATGGTACTGCTTATAAATACTAACAAATGAAAGCAGAGGCCATTCAGAGAGAGGGACCTTGAAAGTAAGATACAAACAAATCCTACTCTTGAGGGTAAATTAAGAATTTATAGTTCCTCAAGATTTGAGAAAACTGTGATAGCCTGAAGCATAGATTACATGAATTTTTTTTTTTTTGGAAGGTAGTTTGGGAATGTGCAGAGAGGACCACATCTTCCTCCTTCTCTCCTCCCAGCTACATTCACTTCTCACCTGATGGAGTTTTTGCAGAATCTGTTCTTAAGGTGCTCGTTGAGGTAAATGGTGCGAGATTTGGACACCTGTGAATCTGGTTTAGATTTTTTCTGGCCCATCTTTTCATCCACCTTCTTACAGCCCAAAAAGAAAATAACGGTTCCTGCGACAAAAAGGCATGGGGACATTAAACAGAAATACACATGAGGTCAGACCCCAGGGAAAGAAGCAACCACAATGCCCGAAGACCTTAGCCCGAGGCAGGTCACCGGAAGCAGGCTTCTCTTCACAGCTCCCATCTCCTCTCCTGCCCCACCCAGCTTTCCCAGGGACCTGGTCATGTGGTCAAGAGATGGGTGCCATCTGTCCCTTTCCGCCACATCAGCTGCTGGCTCCCTCCCTGCTAACCTACCATCATCACCCCACCAAGGGACCATGCGGTGAGATAGGGCATACTGGCTTGGCTCAGACAAAGGAGGGAAGGAGAGAGGAGAAGAGGTGATGGGGGAACCCACATGACAGTGTCTTGGCTGAAGAGAGGCAGTTCCCTCACCAAATGGGAGCCTCCCTACCCAAAAACAAACGGGATTTTTGACAAAGGCCAAGGTGGGTGTTGTGGATTGAATTGTGTCCCCCAAAATGTGTATTAACTTGGCTAGGCCATGATTCCCAGTATTGTGTGATTGTCCACCATTTTTGTCATCTGATGTGATTATCCCATGTGTTGTAAATCCTACCTCTATGATGTTAATGAGGCAGGATTAGAGACGGTTATGTTAATGAGGCAGGACTCCATCTATAAGATTAGGTTCTATCTTCAGTCAATCTCTTTCGCGATATAAAAGAGAGAAGCAAGCAGAGTGACAGAGGGACCTCACATTACCAAGAAAGCGGTGCCGGAAGCAGAGCATGTCCTTTGGACCAGGGGTCCCTGAGCTGAGAAGCTCCTAGACCAGGGGAAGATTGATGACAGGGACCTTCCTCCAGAGACGATGGAGAGAGAGGGCCTTTCCCTGAAGCTGGCACCCTGCATTAGGACTTCTAGCTTACTAGATTGTGAGAGAACAAACTTCCGTTTGTTAAGGCCATCCACTTGTGATATTTCTGTTGTGGCAGCACTAGATAACTAAAACAGTGGGTTTTATTATTTTATTGTTTTTGATGAGAAACAGTGCTCAGCCTGGGAAGGGGGGTTGCCCTGAGTGCCTCAACACTGAGCAAGCATCTTTGCACCAGAGTCCATGTTCCTGACTCTCCTCAGACTTGGGAATGGTAAATGAATGAGAAATTCTTCTGCCAGAGGTCTTGCAGTTCAGGATTAGTATAGATTTTTCAAATCCTTGTGTAAAGGGGTTTTCCCACTAGCACCTTATGTTTAGTCTAGCTATTTCTTGTCATAGATTTCACTAACAGCCCATTCATGTGGAAGGTGGAGGAAAAAGAGGCAGGTGACAGTGAGCTAAGCAGCTGCTGGAGAAATAAATCAAGTTTAAACCAACAACTTAGAGACTTGTGATCCACAGGACAGCCTGGGGAAGCCAGAAAACCTCCTGCTACCTGACACAGGAGGGCAGGTTGTTAGTGACAAAGTGTTCCCAGTTGAAAGGCCTAAACCTAAGCTAACTTTCCAGCTCACACGCTAGGGGCCTTCCTCCACCCCAACACATTTCTCCAGCAAATAACCAGTCTGTTAGAGTGGCTCCATTTAAACAGAGTAATAGTAAAATAAACAAATAAATAAAATTAATAGCGAAAACTGAACTAGCATGGGATCTACAGCCCTTCACCCAAAAGATGAGGAAATATGAGGAACAAAAGAAGACGGAAATTATTTTTGCACATCAAAAGAATTAAGTTACAAAGTAGATGAAAACAGTGAATAAATGCATTTGTCTTAAAAGAAACAACTGAAAGGTTGGAAGTTTGAGTCCACCCAGAGGTCTGGTGATCTACTTCTAAATAATCAACCATTGAAAACCCTATGGAGCACAGTTCTATGACACATGTGAGGTTGCTATGAATCCAGATCAACTCGAAACACAAGGTCAAAAAAAGAAATAAAACGTCTTTTTAAAAAAAGTGATACTATAACAGCAGAAAGATTTTTATAGTGATCTGAAAGAGTTCTGAAAAGAAATGAATACAACAATACCTTGAGAAAAAGGAAAGCCACATTAGAAGCAACTGACAGCTGAAAGTAGGGAAGTACTGCACAGACTACAGAAAACTATGCAAAAGGAAATGAAAAAGAGTGCAAAAGATAAAGAATTGGAGAAAAATCATAGATTTGGGACGGAGGATATCCAGTGTGTGCATACTTGGTGTCCTTGAGAAAGAAACAAACAAAAAAATAAAACAGGCCAGGACATCACCAAGATGGTGGAGTAAGAAGCTCCATGCTATGGAAGAAACTTAAAAATAAAAATAAAAATAAAAAAACAAGAAGAAACTGTTAGAATTAGCCTTATCAGAACTCTGGTAAACAGTAAGAGATTCACAGTAACCAAGCAAATGGTGAATCAAGAAAGAGGCAATGTCAAAAAAAATTATAGGAAATCTTGGTGGCATTTTGTTACTTGACTGTGCCTTTCCCAGCACTGGCTCACCAGCCAGCCTGAAGCAGCAGCCCCGTGTTTCCAGCTTGGGACCCTGGTCTGTTCTGAAAGGAGCACAGCTTACTGTGTTTGTTTAAACCAGTAGAATGGCTACCTAAAGGACTAAAGCAAAGTTCACAACCCTGTTTTGTTCAGGAGGTGGTGCAGGGCAGAGGAGTGGCTGTCATACTGAAAGGCTTGTAGCTGCCTAGGGCAAGAGAGGGTGATTGAGATATACAATAGTAAACTTTGGGCTAAAATCAAGGAGCCTAGAAGAAAGTTTCTTTCAGGACTTGAGGCATTCAGAAGGGCCCGTGTGTACCGGAAAATTTAAAGGGCCACATGCATGTCCGGAACAAGAAACATCCCAGGAAAGATCTGAGAAAATCCTAAGCATTTACTTTGGGTTGATCTCCCGGCCCGGTTTAAACCTGGCTAAGTTTGCAAAAATAGTTTGGAAAAGTTACTAAACTAATGGACTACTATAGTCTTAAATAGTAAGAGAACGGGAGAGAAAAGAAGGAAGGAAGAAAGGAAGGAAAGAGTAACCCCATCCTGGAAGTGCATATCTCTGAGCTGGCTCTCTAGCACAATAACAACCCAAATTTGCATCACTAGAATGGTCCAAGATACCTCAAGCCCTGAAATCAGTTTAAAATGTCTAAGGATTGATAGTGCTGCTAGTGACAAGCAGAAGCAAACAGAAATCCTGTGTGAAGACAAATACCATAATCCTAAGGCCTCAAAGAATCCCTAAAAACAATTTATCAAGCGCAAGCCAAAAGAGAAAATAAGGCATCATAAGTAAGAACCATTAGAAACAAAAGACAGCAGAAATTACACACTAACAACTTCAGATGGTTGAATTAGAAGACACAAATTTTTTTAATAAAAAGAAAATAACCATACTTACTATGTAGGAAAAAATAAAAGACAAGCTTTAAAATACTTATATGAAGAGAAACTATAAAAAGTGACTCCACAAGTTTGAAAAAGAACCAAATAAAACCTCTAGAAATGAGAAAAAGGAAAACTCCAGACTTTAAAATTCATGAAAAGTTTAGCAGTAGATAGGATGCTGCTGATAGGAAAAATAATAAAATAAAACATAGATCATAAAAATTATCAAAAATACATCATGGAGAAGCAAAAAAGATGGCTATATATAAAAGAGGTTAGAAAGTGAAGAGGATAAAGTGAGAAGATAGAATATAGGTTTAATTGGAGTCCCAAAGAGAAAAGGTGGGGAGGCACAGAGGTAATACATGAAGAGACAATGGCTACAAATTTTCCACTCATGCAAGAAAAGAAATAATTCCCAAGCAAAATAAATAAAAAAGAAAGCCATACTTAGACTTATAGTGAAAGTGAAGAAAACAAAAGACAAAGAGAAAATCCTAAATGCAGCCAGAGGAAAAAAAGATAAATTACTATCAAAGGAGTGCGCTTTGTCTGATACCTAATTTCTCAACAACAGCAGAAGCCAGAAAGCAGGGGAATGATATTATTAATGGATGCAAAAAAGTTAATGGCTATTCTACAATTCTTTGTCTAGTACTTCAGTGCAATGGATTGCTTTTATATGGCCTTTGTAACTCTCACCAAATGATTGGGTGGGACTATGCAAATAAGGTGCTTGCGGCCCACCAAGGGAATTGGACAGCTTGCTAATAATACAAATAAAGTGCATGGCACTTTTGTGGGGGTGGGATTATGCAAATAAGGTGTATTGAACCCTAACAAGGAGATCGGTCAGTTTTGCCATCCTTCTACGCTTAAAATGAGCCACCCCAGAGGCAGACAGGGAGTACCTCATTACCAGCAAGAAGAAGAGATGAGAGCAGAGCACATCCTTTGGACTGGGAGTCCCTGTGCTGAGAACCTCCTAGACCCAGGTGACAAAGAGAAGGAGCTGTAACACAGAAGACAGTGAGAGATGGAGGCGCAGCAGAACAGTGATGGCAGCACAAGACAGCAGCAACAAGGAGACTGGCAGGATATGGTTGTGGTGGGGTTTGCCAACCCATGGAGCTAGGAGCTTTGTAACACTTGCCTAAGTGGGCAGAGGTAAGGCCGAGAGGCTGAGAGGCTGAGAGACCAAGGGCCAGAGAGAGGCCTGCCTGCGGGCATGGCTGAGAAGAAGCTGTCCTGATTGAAGAACTATATCCTGAATTGTTTATGATCTGAGTTGTACTCTGTTACTTCCCCAATAAACCACTTAATGAGTTCTTCATGTGTTCTGTGAAACTTCATGAGTTCTGTGAAACATTACAGTGAATTATGGAAGCCAAAGACTGAGAGTACTGGAGGGAAGGGTTTACGTTAGAGATGATGGCGTGGTATAACAGTTTGGAAAAGTCAGACGTTTGGAACATCTTTAAACTCTGCCTCATAGGAACCAGCTTTGTGCTGATCCTTATGAAAGAAGTTATTAAGTACGCACACATTGATATGTCCACATACACACACACACACACACACGCACACATTTTAAAGTAATGGGGATTGCTTTAGTTATCTAGTGCTGCTATAACAGAAATACCACAAGTGAATTGCTTTAACAAACAGAAATTTTTTCTCTCACAATTTAGGAGGCTAGAAGCCCAAGTTCAGGGTGCCAGCTCCAGGGGAATGCTTTCTCTTTCTGCTGGCTCTGGGGAAGGTCTTGGCATCAATCTTCCCCTGATCTAGTAGCTTCTCAGCACAGGGACCCTGGGTCCAAAGGATGCACTCCAGTCCTGGCTCTTCATGCTCGGTGGTAACGAGGTCCCTCTCCTCTCTGCTTGATTCTCTCTTTTATATTTCAAAAGAGTTTGACTCAAGATACAACATAATTCTGTAGA